CTGAATAAAAATAAAAATTAGACAGGCATCCTTTTGCTGTTACACATATACATATAACAGCAATCCCATTCTGCTCGTCGCCACGGTCTTTTATATTAAAACATTCTAGCAAACAAATTATGATAATATTCAATTTGTGTTTGATTTGAAAGGTATAAATCATTTTAAAATAATATATGATAAGATCCAACATGTCTTCTTTTGTAGTTATATAGATTTATGATTATTAATGGTGTATTTTGATACTAGTAATCTCATTTTCTGATTAGATCATTAAATGGGCGAGAAGTTGAACATAGGAAGTAAGAAGTGAGTCATTCAGGAAAAGTGTAACAGTCATGGATCAGGGAAAATTATGAAAAATATCTGAACAAATAAAAACAACCAACAAATGAAATTCTTCCATTAAAATAAAACTATATTTGAGATACTGATTGGCTGTTGTGAGAAGTGGGGCATCTTATCTCCATCCTCATCAAAGATAGTTTGCGATAAAATTAAAAATTGAATTTTTTTTCTAAACCAACAGAATTCACACACAAATAAGCTAGTTACATCATAACAGGAATAAAAAATTAATACTAAAACTGTCGACTCTATTCAAATGATTGTGAATATACAAAATAATGTTTTAGGAAATCTCTGTACAGCTTTAAATTATTTTAGACTGCTGGCGCGGGGCTGTGATCTTTCAACTCATAAAATACTAGAGATTAGTTAATTTTCAGTAGAGCCAAAAAGTGTCAATATTCGTAGTTGTATTAACTTACAAGTGAAATAAATATAATTATCGAACTTTTTATTCTAGTAGAATAGTAGATGTATGAATTGATAATATTTGCAGCAGCCCAGTTTGAGTATCAGTTTTCAACTGGTACCAGAGGTGTATAAACATGAGTAGGAAATATTTATTGATACATTTTAATTTTATCTTCCATGAAATTAATATATGACTCTTGACGGATTATAAGGTCTACGATAAATTCCAGAAAACACTTGCCCGAATGGACATTGGGCCAATTGTCTATTGGGACATTTGTCGCATTCGGGCAAGTGTTCATTCGCGTGTTTGTCGAATTTAGACAAGTGTCCTTTTGGGTGTTTAACGCTTTCTGGCAAGCGTCCATTCGGGAAATCGTCCTTCGGGCAAACGGCTTTCGGACAAGTGTCTTCCGGGAAAACGTCCGGCTCGCCTTTTGACACTTGTATAGGCCTATTATATTTATTGGCAAACTTTTAACATTACACGTGTTAAAGTTAACTATTCCACCTATACATTTAATGAAATGTAAATAAAGTAAGATGACACGCTTGTGGTTTGCATTTTCAAACAATCATGTTTACACACTGGATTTAAGCTTTTCGGCATTATTAAAACTTATTCTATAAATTGGTATAAAATAATTGATCAATTGGCTTATATTAATTGTTTGCATATTACATTAGACTTAACTATATACAAAATAAATCGCTGTTTTAAAAACAAAATAGCAATATATATGAGAAGTGTGGTTGTGGATGGATGATTATAACTTTATGTGTAGAAGGTCTGGATCTGGATTTTATGTAAACATTAAGAGGGTGTGGGGGGGGGGGGGGGTGAGGGAACAAAACGGGACAAAGTATATTGACCACCCCATAGTCATGTGTTAAAAATGTGCCATCTGGATTGTTAAGACATATATTAAAATAGTATTGTAAGTGTTGATATTAATTAGCCTTTAATTATTATTTCAATGGTGTATAGTCTAGTCGTAAGTAGTTTATTGATATAATTTAATATAACATCCTAATATAACATATATTATTTATTATTATTTTGCTGTGAAGTATGTGTTTGAATATGTCAAGCCTTAATAAAACCGGAACTCATTTTTTACTTATTTCACTAATGTAAAATATTCAATTTTCTTTATCTACTGACGGTACTTATGAGTACCACTTTAATTAAGTGCCTGTATTATTTTTAATGTAATACGAATTTTAAAAATTATTGATGTAATTAATAGTATTATCTCCCCTGAGTCGCCGGTAGTTCGAGGGATCGATGAATTTTGACAATTTTTGGTGTGGCGCCAATTTCAATGTCTTGCTATATCGGTAGTTTACAATTGTTCTGTAACGTTCTCACACACGTTCCTGATTTCCCTTTGTTTTACATTGTTCTTGAAGTTTTTATCCCCAAATATTTTTTATTGTCATCTCCAATAGTCAGACAAACGCGTTTAACTTCTAGTTATACAATTTTAATCAAATTGTCTATGTATTAGATCGATGTTTACAAGTGGACTTATAAGTACCGTCAGGGCACACGGGCATTTTTTTTTTTAGGAAATGTCAGATTTTCGATGTGGAGTGACATAAATATTATTTTGATAATTAATTATCGAAATGTACTCAAAAAATGATATTTACACATTTATAAGAAGGTTAGCATATGGTTTACCTAAGAAATTTTGTAATAACATGTTAATTTCTAGTAGTAAAAGAATAACAAGGATAAAGGTAGCAGTTGCAGGCTCGTTTACAAGGTTTAGTATACTTCATTTGTAAACCAAAGCCTAGTTCTAGTTGTAAGATTTAATTTGTTAGTTATATTTACTGCAATAAACTGTCTTGCCTAAAATAACTATATATTTACGTAATGTATACCTGTACACTAGTAATAGTCCATACATCTGCATATAGTATAGATCTATATGGTAAAATTTAATCCGTACTCAGGAAACAGTAGGCCACTTCGGCTATCCTAAACACATTGAGCTCACTTGTATTTATGAACTTTACACTGTAGTGTAGACTTGTCATAACATTCTAGTAGGCTACAATTATACTAGTATTACTAGTAGTTGTGTACTGAATGACTAGGCTTTTGTTTTTTTATGCGGCTCATTGTAAGTAATAGCTATTGGAAGCTTCCAGCAGAAGCATGTTCAGTCCGGCAACCGTTGCTACACCAGAAAGACCACAGACAAGAATGAGGGAGCATGACATGTCGGCAACCTTTGCTGTGTTTAAGGTCTAAGATGTGTTCCGATAGAAAATCCAATAAAAATCGTACTCAAAATATACTTTTGTGCTGTATTTAAGTGTGAAAATTACAAAAGATGATTGTTATAATGATTGCCATGTTGTTAGTTAATAAATTGTATCGTTTGTTCCTGTCTTGTAAAAAAAAAAAAATTTTTGGAACAAATGTCCTACATTCCTGACGGTACCAATATCTGTTTGGGCCATTAAAAACTATTTAAACGAAATTTCCTTCGACATACGCTTTTAAATGGGCTAAAAGCAATATGATAACACATTGTTTAAGAAAAAATTTCATTCAGAACCTAATTCCGCAAATAAAGGGTTAACCCTTTATTTACGGAATTATGTTCTGAATGAGATTTTTACTTAAACAATGTGTTACTATATTGCTTTTGGCACATTCAAAGCATATATCGAAGGAAATTTCGTTTCATAAATTTTTAATGGCCCAAACAGATATTGGTACTTATAAGTACCGTCAGTGAACTAGGACATTTTTTTCAAAAATTTTTTTTTACAAAACAGGAACAAACGATACAATTTATTAACTAATAACATGGCAATCATTATAACAATCACTTTTTGTAATTTTCACACATAAATACAGCACAAAAGTATATTTTGAGTACGATTTTTACTGGATTTTCTATCGGAACACATCTTAGACCTCAAACACAGCAAAAGTAGTCGACATGTCATGCTCCCTCAATCTTGTCTGTGGTCTTTCTGGTGTAGCAACGGTTGCCGGAATGAATATGCTTTTGCTGGAAGCTTCCAATAACTAGTACAATGAGCCTCATAAACAAACAAAAGCCTAGTCATTCAGCACACAACTACTAGAAATACTAATATAATTGTAGCCTACTATAATGTTATGACAAGTCTACACTACAGTGCAAAGTTCATAAATAGAAGTGAGCTCAATGTGTTTTGGAAGAAGTAGTGGATTACTCTTTTCTGTTTACTGATTAAAATTTACCTTATAGATCTATACTATATGCAGAAGTATGGACTATTACTAGTCTACAGGTATACATTATGTAAATGCTAGTTGTTGTAGGCGAGACAGTTTATTGCAGTAAATATAACTAACAAATTAAATCTTACTACCTGAACTAGGCTTTGGTATACAAATGAAGTATACTAAACCTTATAAACGAGCCTGCAACTGATACCTTTATTCTTGTTATTTTTTTTACTACTAGAAATTAACATGTAATTACAATATTTCTTAAGTAAACCATATGCAAACCTTCTTATAAATGTGTAAATATCATTTTTTGAGTACATTTCGATAAGTAATTATCAAGACAATATTTTTGTAACTCCACCTAACAAATCTGCAATTTTCTAAAAATCCTAAAAAAATGACCGTGTGCCCTGACGGTACTTATAAGTCCACTTGTAAACATTGATCTAATACAAAGACAATTTGATTAAAATTTTATAACTAGAAGTTAAACACGTTTGCCTGACTATTGAAGGTGCCAATAAAAAATATTTGGGGTTGAAAACTTGAAAAATAAGGTTAAACAAAGGGCAATCAGGAACTTGTGTGAGTAATGTACAGAAAAATTGTGAACTACCGATATAGCAAGACATTGAAAAAGCGCCACACCATTAATTTAAAAAAAAACATTGATATCTCCGACTACCGGCGACTCAGGGGAGATAATACTACAAAATACATCAATAATTTTTAAAATTCGTATTTAATTAAAAATAATACAGGCACTTAATTAAAGTGGTACTTATAAGTACCGTCAGTAGATAAAGGGTTAAATAAACCGGGAGTGATCTCCCTTAAACTTTCTCGAATATATTTATATAAAATATCAGGGGATTGGAACTCGGGCTATAGACATGATTTTTAATCCATTTTAAACACTTAAAGTTTTAAAAATAGAATAAAATCTCGTAGACAAAAGAATTGCACACCAAGTGAACGCCAAATAAAAAAGTGCATA